CTTTTCTTTTTTCTGGCTTAATGTTCGCAGTGGGCTTCAGGCTGCCCTGCAAGGCTTTAAACCTGGGTTTGAATGGAGGCAGTCATTCTCAAGCACATATCAAGGGGCTAATTTTGAGCCTAGATCCATATTTATTTTTGATTCTGTTCACGGTGGAGAATCCTGCTTCACAGCAGCAGGTTGAGCCAAAAATACTCAAAATGTGCAGGGTCATCTTTGAGCACGCCATTTCACTTTTCTGTCACCAGTTCAGTGCAGTTCTTCCAGCAGTCCATACTTTCTCTGCTTCCTTTTTCCCATCGCCCGGCTTGCAAAAGGTTTGCCTGCTGTGTCTAAAAGTGGCTCGCCACAGTGACCCTGACTGACAGCAGCTCATTGGCTAATTTGTATCACGTGTAGCCTGGTCCCGGAAGGCTTTAACATATTAACAGGAGAAGTGGCACAAGTTAAGTTAGACACAGTCATCAGACAACATCCAGTAATTTATAAACGTTTTAAATCAGGTTGGGTCCAGGTCAGCAGGTCAGTCCGCTAATCTGTGACCTCTGACCTAGTTGCATACAAAGGCCATAAGCCATAACAAGGCTTTGTTGGGCCACTCTATAAAGCTTGGACCTCAACGCTATTCCAGACATTTTCAATGGAAAAAGCTTCCTGGATTGGAAGCAAAACGTCTTAAACTTGGAAAACAAAGTCCAGTGGTTTGCTTTTTAACTATTATGGAATGACTATGACCTGGATGACTGAGAATCTCCACTAGCATATGGCATACAAAGGCTTTTCAAATCACGTATAGCACCTGTTGGTTTGTTATATTTAATTTATATTTTTTACACTTTTAAACTTTGCTCTGTTTGCTACTAAATTAAAAGGTATAGTCGCAATGTTCCTTTTCCAGGTGGATCATCAAAATAAGTGGTGGAGGTGGAAACCACATCCTCTGTGCTAACTCCGCTAACGTCTGCAAATGGAGTAATTCCGTTGCGTTGATTCATAAGAACGGTTTCACAGTCACTGTTACTCCTCTAAACGTCGCCATCCACCTACACCCTCTCCTTTACCTTGAAATTACAGAACAACTCCAGTTTTCTGTTCCATTACGGTCCGCTTGGCGCAGGCCGGACCTCTCACACATCCTCTCCTTGGACGTTAAAGATCTCGGAGTGGAGCAGATGTAGTAGATATTGCTTTTAACAGACATGCAAAGATGGAGTCTGGAGTGGAGTCTTGATGTAAGTCTGAAGGCTGTCCAAATAAGCCTTAGCAAACATTTGGTGAAAACTCTTAAAAACTGCAGGAGATTTCAAATATCTAACGGATTCTCGAAGAGGACTGAAAATATCCATGATTGGTTATTTGAGCAAGGTCCAAAACATGACCAAACATTTTCTATATAAGGTAAACCAAGGTTCCTGAAAATAAAACCTGATGAGGTGGAAGATTCTACAATAAAAGCTTCATTTATCTGAAGACTTTCTTCACGTTAAATACACGCCACAGTATGTTGCAAAGTGGGATCATCATTGGATCTTCAGTCCAGTTCACCTCCTCTCAGTCTCACTCATTGAATTGAATTGTTTTTCAGCTTGTTCTTACCAGAGAACACCATCCACAGCTCCCCACGTAGCGACTCTGGGATTCCCATGGCAACCAGCTTTTGGATCTTCTCAGTGCGAAACATGTGAACGCCGCGCCCAAACTCTGCAAAGTGCTCCTCCCACAGTCGTTCCTTCACCGGCTCCATGCTCTGATTTAAATGCACCAAACAAAAAAGCCAAAAGATTTTAAAAGACAGATTTAATAAAATAAAGAAAAATCTCTTTCAAGAGAAGCGTTTTATTCTTCTTTCCCCACCTTGTTTCCATCGTTTCCTGGCTGGCTTTGGTGGAAGGCCGTCATGAGAGCTTCGCTGTTGACGGTGTTCCGGAGGACCTGCTCCTCCATCTCCTCCTCATCAGAGAGTCCAGTGTCATAGTAGAAGGTGTAGTAGGGTGTCGGGGAGGTCTGGTAAAGGAATCAGAGTTCAAGCCTTTAGTTCAGAAAGGATCCGTCACTAACTTGTATCTTTAAAATGTAATGTGTGTCCCAGAGTAAAATAGAAGATATTTAAGATGGAGAAATCCAACAATATAGAGATATGTATAGAATATAATCAGAATTACAAAGAGGTGTCATGTTTCTAGCTTTACGTTTAGAGCTAGAGATGTTTTTACATTTCCTCTGAAATGTTCAGTTACTCAAGAGTCACCAGATTGGGATTCATGTTTTTTAAATGTTGTCTTTACTGACCACAAGCAACAAATATACCCTATATATTGGAGGTCTTCAACAGGGGGTCCGCGACCCCTAGGGGGTCCACGGAGGTACTGCATGTGGGTTGCAAAAGTTTTGTTTGATTTGACTTTTTTTTTTAATATATATTCCCCCTGCAATTTTTTTCTCACTAATTGAAATGTCTTTAAGGTCGTAGGGAATCGGCCGTTCCAACTGTTGCTTTTCCGAATTCTCCTAAGTGGTGCCTGACTTTTCACGACTGAATGAAGTGAATGTGATCGGTTGTTTATCAAGGGGGTGGGATTGTTCTGGCGGGAGGTTCGCAAGCAAGTTTGGTTGTGGCCGGTTTGTCGGAAGAATATTGCTAACCATGAGTCTCCTCCGTCATACAGTTTTTATTTAGAGGAGGAAAGCGGGGACAAAGATGTTGTGGAAGAGGACGCCAGGGCGGCAGAAGCTTGGTTTGGTGTAGAAGGCTTACAGCCGTACATGTTTGAGCCCTTGCCTCACAACGCTGCCAGTTCTGTTAGCTCTACGCCTGCCGAAGACACAGACGTTCATCCCCGTGAACACTGGGACGGAACTCAATGGGAAAGTCAATGACTCTTATTTCAATAGCTGCGTATTTTAGCTGCCACATATGAATCAAAAAATTCACATTGGCCGAATTTAGGTGTTCAGGCTGAAGTACAACTAACTGGCCTGCATAAGATAACAAAAAAAAAAAACACAGATTTTGAGAAAGGATTTTTTTTTTTTTTATATAGAAATTTTATAAATTTTGGGACAATTTTATCTAATAAAGAGTAGATTTATATACATGTTTAAGCCAGAATTATTTTACATTTAAATCTGATTTCCCTATGACTTTATGATGGAGAAATCCAATAATATAGAGACATATAGAGAATATAATCAGAACAAAAAGGTGTGATGTTTCTAGCTTTACCTTTAGAGTTAGAAATGTTTTTACGTTTTCTCTGAAATGTAAATATACTTGCTGAAAAACCCGACATATATATGCATATATATAATTTTCTTTTTTAACAAATTAAATATCTAATTACCACTCAGCTTGTATTTAACTAATATAATATTGGTTGCTGATTACTGGTCTTTTAGTAGAATTAGATGCAAGCAGTGTTGAATCAGGCAATGTATAAAAATTCATGTTATGTTGCATTTTATTTGACATTTTAATGGCAGCGATTAAGTTAACTGAAAGGAGGTCAAGGATGCAAAGTAGGAGCAACGGGAGGAGAGAGAAGCAGGAAATTCATACCTTATCTTCCAAAGATCATTATGGGCAATGTTTTATGACCATATGAGCAGACAGAGATTTAAAGAAGGTTAAAAAACTTAAAGGAGAGCATCCTCAGTGAGAGCTGCTCCAGATCCGATCCAAGACGGACCACTATAGATGATCCTTCCTGCATACAGCTGTCCACACCTTACACAACTCCCAGAAGAAATGGTGCAACATTTAATTTTCCTTTGAGATTAATAAAATATTGTTTTTATATTGAAATGCTCTACACTGATTACAGACACTCTGGGTAAAAAAAAGGAAATTCTTAGCTTCTCCTCTCTAGAGGCTAATATAGTGCCTTTTTTTGTCAGCTAAAAATAACCTTAACACTGTTACTTATGAATCATCCCACACTTTCACATCCTATGAAATGCCTTTCTGAACTGAACTGTTTGAGACTTTAACATGTTGGGTGTTCACATGCTTACTGAGAAGAAGGATTTTCATAAGGAGAGTTTTTAAAAGCATGCATTCTCAGTTAAAAAGATTCCTTATTTTTACACTCAGATGTTATCCCGATTTCTCAAATGACAATTTGCACTTGCTTTAAAAAAAAAAGTCAAGTATACATATACTCACTGCACTTAACACTTAATTTCTCTCTTCAGATTAAATGTCAATTACAGAAGTATGTTATTTCTGCCGTTCAACGCTGCTCCTTGTGTTCAAACCGTCTCTGTTTGCCACTCATTAAACCACCTCTCTGCTTGAGAATCTCCATGAAAGCAACAGAAATGCTCCAGAAGAAAGGAGCTGTTTAAGCCACACTCCTGTTATATTTCCTGTAATTGTTACCCGTGGATAAATAGCTTTAACAGGAGCGAGAAAAATCTCCAGACAGGAAGAAGGGGGTTTTACCTCCACTGAGGAAGGTAAAGTAACCCTGAAATCCCACATCCGCCATCATCGCTCTGCTCCACTGCGCTCCAGAACGCCCGCGCAAAGCCTACAGCCTCCGCCGTTGCTCCCATCTTGGATAGCCCTGACTTCTTCGGAGTTTGAGGATATCATGCGCAATATTTTTGCCAAAATTCATAGGAGCAAAACATGCGGAAATGAACGTTTAATTTCACACATTAAGAAAAAAAATCCCCAACAGCATCTATTAAATGCGCAAATATTTTCTTTTTGCTGTGGATTTTTGTAACAGGGATAATAGGATCATACAAAATTATTTTTTATGAACCGTTTGTTCTCTACTTCCAAACTCAGCATCTCTTCATCCAGGCGTGCGATAAGAAGTTTCTTTTGACTGGATGTGATTAAACTTTAAGCCTGTCGGTATAAAATAAATATTTTGATCGAGATGAGAAATCATCTTCCCGATATGTTGAAGTACCAATAGTTTCCATCCAATCACTTAATTTAACGGCCTTCGTTTTTGGGAATATATAAGAATTATGCTCTAATTTGTAGTTACCAATCCATCGTTACTATATTTTAATTTGACAAACCAGATCTTGTCGACGTTCTTTTTCCTGTTTGGTGCGATTGCAATTGCGGATCTTGACCTGGCCAGACCAGAGCGGAGCAAAAAATAGCTCGGCTCCGTATTTTGATGGTGACGGACAGAGAAGACGTACGTGGACAGTGACGTGCGGGGAGTAGTGGTGGATGTGAAAGTATTCAGTGAGCGGGGCGCAGCGCTGACGGAGTATGTGGAATCTGAGGGTAAAAGGAGCAGAAATGAACAGTGGCAGAGGATATCTGTCAATCTGAGCAGAGGAACAAACATCTGACCCTATCTTAACACAAGCAGGAGCCTTTAAATGACAGCAACACAATGTCTCCGTGTGATTATTTACACTTTTTATGTGAAATCCAAGAATACCACTTTGGATTAACTTTTTGGATGTCAGATGATTTTGCTGCTAACGTCAGACTGGCTTTTCTGGTCTGTTTAACTCAGTTTATGGTGAGGGCCTCTTCCTCTGAGCAGTTTTCAAGCACTAGTATGTTCTGATTAAACATTGAAGTCTGAATGCTCTGTAAAGCTTATAAGAATAGAGTTAGAAACGGAGCAAAGTGCTTAGTTTGCGCTGTTAGCAGAAAAGCTAAGAGGTGAAATAATTAAGATATATAAATCAGTGTGTTGTGAAAGAGTTCGCTGACATTCTCACCACACTCCTCCTGCTGTCCCTCTTATTGCGAAACACAGAGTGTTTCCACTGCTGAGCTCTGAGCCTGGAGTTCATGCTCTCCACCAGCTCGTCTCTTTCCTGCAGCTCGATCAGCTGGAAGGCCTTTTTGGTCCGCATGCTCACGATTACAGGGTTGGGAAGGGGGCTGGTGCTCTCTGCTTTTTCTATGGACAAAACCTAAAATAAATAAAATAAATAAATAAATAAATAAAGGGAAAATAGGATCAGTCTGTCGACAAAGAAATGATGGTGGAAATATGTTCCTACCCCTCAGCAAAATCAGAAGGGAAGGAATCATGGAGCACAAAATGTGACTGTTGAACCAAGGATTAAGGCCTGATACTGTAGAGCTAAACCTCCTGCTTTTTATTAAATGACTCTGAAATGATCACAAAACGTTTTACTAGTGTTTGAAAAAGGTTAAGTAATTACCTGAGAGGATTTGATCACAATAATTCAAGAAATAAAACATAATATACCAGTTGGGTGGAGGTAGAAAGAATTTTTGTAAAAGCGGGAAGCATTATGAAGAAACCGCAATAGTGGAGGAAGAAGGGAAAGCATGATGATACACGTGGTTAGAAAGAAGAGGGTAAAGAGCAGGCTGACTATCTCTTTATATACATGGAAAGTTAGTCACCAGGCCTTTTATTTATTACAATCCATCTGAAAACCAAGAGCAGTTCTAGAGAGGGGCCAACAGGAACCAGTAGCCCTGTAGAACGGTTCCTGGCTCCTGTTAGGGACCCTGCATTTAAAAACAAACTGCTAAATTTGCTGTTGAAGATTCTCAGTAATCCAGGTCCAAAAAAAAGATAAATTAAAAACAAGTTTGAAAACGTTTCACTTCCCCACCAGGAGTCTTTTTTCAATTCAAAAATGTTGGGACTAGCGGTAAGTTCAAGGTTTTATACGGTAGCCCATCAAAACCTTGTTTTTGTTTTGAAAACATGCAAATTGAAACAGTCAAAGGGGTCCACCCATTTGGAATGGGAGTCGTTTAGCTTCTTTTGTTAGCCTGCAAAGCCTCATACCCGTCTAAATGTATGAAAGGGGGGTTGTTAAGGGGAATTGTTGGCCTGGCTGAAAAGGCGAGGTCCTCCGCTCCCCTGTACAGAGGCTGGGGCTGCAATGATAGCAGGAAGGGATTAACTCAATAGCTGCATTGTAAGTTTTTGAAAGCTGAAACCTGAGTCCTCCTCCTCTGTTTAAGGTTGTTTTTTCTTTCTTAACATAGATGGCTTCCTTCACACCCCTCTCAAACCACCTATATTCTTTTTCCAGAATGTGAACATTCTGGTCCTCAAAAGAATGTCCTTTCTCCATAAAGTGCAGCTGGACAGCAGAGTCTTTTCCCAAGGAGGAAGGTCTTCTCTTTTAGGCCATGCGTTTGTGGAGAGGTTGTTTGGTTTCTCCAATATAAAAGATCTACTAGCACTAGCCTCTTTCTTGTTTGGTTTGACATGTACTGGGATTTTGTGTTTGGAGAAAATCCTCTTGAGTTTTTCAGAGACTCCAGCGATGGCAATGTCTTTGCGCAAAAAAATTGCCATCCCATATGTTGTACACAGACACTTAGACGGGTATGGGGCTTTGCAGGGTAAAAAAAAGAAGCCAAATGACCCCCATTCCAAAGGGATGAACCCCTTCGTCCGTTTCAATTTGCATGTTTTCAAAACAAAAACAAGGTTTTAATGGGCTACTGTATAAAACTTTGAACTCAACACTACTCCAGACATTTTGAATTGAAAAAGTTTCCTGGATGAGAAGTGAAACGTCTTCAAACTTGGAAACAAAGTCCAGTGGATTGTTTTTAAATTTCCTTTTTTTGGAACAGCTAAATTTAATCATTTTTCTTGAATAAAGTGTATTTTCCCTATATTTGAGCAAGTAGGTAAAAAGTGCCAATAGAATATAATCATTTGCATTTAAAATAAGAACTTAAAATTCATCATATCTAATAAAAGGGCAAAAATACTAATTCCTTTGGAAGATCATCTTATTTACCTGCTCCGATTAACTGCAAATGCACTTATTTTAATAAAATGTTGATTAACTAGATCAGTTTTTGAAGCCTAATACTAAATACATTCTTATGATGATATGGGCTAACATAAGAGATCGTAACTGATCAACATTGTCTTGGATCAGTTTAACATTTCACCCTTACAGTTCAACTGACTAGTAGATTAGAAACCACATTTAATGTTAAGCTCTAGTCCTATTAAAACAGGAGCACATTTCATCTGGAACCCCAGTGACCACTGCAAACTGGAAACAGTGAGATTGTGGTGAAATGTTTAACTTGACTGTTGGCTTTGTTCAGTCTAAACCCAATGACACTATAACCCAGTGAAGCACAAATTTAACTATTGATGCAGAATAAAGAGGCAGTTTTATCTAACAGGAGCAATCACCTTCTTTCAGTTAGCATTCAGATTTCTTTACATTTTTCTTTCCTTAAGAGATAAATAACACAATTTAACTCTCAGATTATACTTTCTGTAAAACAACTGTAATGTGTGAGCTGGCAAACATTATCAACAAGAGGAAATGTCTGCCTGTTACTCTTTAACCAGCAACTGTCAAAGTAAACCTTTCAGATAAAAAGATATCTGGGCCCACAGAGATGCACCTGTTTAAATAAATTGAAACTCACACATTTTTCTTCATTTCTCATTTAGTTTAGAGCTGATTCCGTCACACTGAGCAGAACCAGTCATGTGTTCAAATAAAACCTTCACTTTGAGGTGAACAGAGTAAAGTAGACTAGAGGCAGTGTTGGGAAAGTTCTCTTTCTACGTGAACTAGTTCAAAGTTCAGTTCACACATTTTAAAATGAACTAGTTCAGTTCATAGTTCATAATTAAAAATTTTGAACTAAGTTCACAGTTCAAAAAAATGAACTAGTTCATAGTTCTTTTTTTTTCATATATTGCTCAATTACACCATAGCCTACTGTAGAACCACAGACAGCAATTATTTTTATCAGTTGTAACACTGAAACTGTGCGTCAGATTTTATCTTCATATCCAGTTTTGAATCCTTATCCAACCAGGGTTTACATTAGCATTGAGGGGACAGATTTCCCCATTGTTGCTTTAATGCTTTGTTGCTGTCCATTCACTTCACACTAGTAGCAGCTGCAGCTTTCACCCCTACAGTATATTCTCAAAAACATCAGGAAAAATGTGCTGCTTGAATGGTCTTTTTTTTATGAGGAATTATTAAAAGAAAAACAGGAAAGTAGTCTTTAAGGAGCAAATGTTTTTTTAATTTTAATATTTTTTTCCATTTGAAAATCCATTTCAGTACATATGCCGTTTCAGATTTGCTTTGGATGTTACTGAAGTGCGGATTTTTTTACTGAAAGCCGGCGGGCAAAGTTTGCAGAGAAATGTAAGATTGTTGCCATCATCCTCACCGACCACCTGGTCATAAAACTGTTTTAAGTGATCATACTGATGCTTGTCGGCTCCACGGTCGCTTCCGCGCTGCATTTTGTTTTGATGACGCACGCAGCTGTAGGCTACGACGCTGGTAGCTGGTGTTGCCAGATTGGGTGTTTTTCCCGCTACATATTAAGGCCTGTTTACGGTGTGATTTAGCCGGGGTTTCGCCTGGAGGACTCTATAGAAATCTGGCAACCTATTGAACGGAGCTGAACTGAGAGAGCGTGCCGTTCACAGACACCAGAATGAACGAGTTCACAATAATGTTCATCAGGCAGTAATGCAGTACGTTCAGTTCACGTTCGCCCAAAATATGAACGAGTTCATGAACTTTCGTTCAGTGAACGCGTTCAGGCACAACTGGAAACTCATTAAGTCAGACATTATTCTGACGAGTAAACCCCACTATACCTGAAATGTCTTGTATGTTTATAAACTTGTTTATATTCTTACTTTAACATTAAATTGACATGTATGTCTGTGTGGAGCATCTTAAACTATGTTCTTAAAAATGTAAAAGGAAATATATCCATATTGCTTTTTAGATGGTCAATTTTATTTATATTGAATATTACAGTAAATACCATTAAATTATAAAATGACAAATAACTAAATTACCTATCATCAGTGTTGTTTTCCTCATTGATTATTAAATTGTTTCATTTATTACTTTTCTTTCATGCCGTAAAAGTTTAAAAACAATCCACTGACTTGGTTTCCAAGGTTTAAAGACATTTCGCTTCCCCTCCAGGAAGCTTTCTCAATTCAAATGTCTTTTTTTCATGACGATAATGAAAACTGGGGAGCTAAACATGGATCTTTGATCAATCAATCAATCAAGTTTATTTGTATAGCCCTTTACAATAGCCAAATGGTACCCAAAGTGCTTTACAACAAAGCCATATAACAATACATAACACATACAAAACATACAGATAGAATTAAAAGTGCTGTAGTGGTGCAGCGCTGCAGGACATTGAAAGCCTTCCAGAAGTGCATAGAAAGGAGCAGACAGAAGGAGGACAGCTAAGAGACAGTATTACCCTAGTCAGAATTTAATGCTAATTTTAAAAAATGGGTCTTAAGCTTTTTTTTAAAAGGCTGAGGTCAGTAGTGGTGCGGATGTCAGGGGGTAGTTTGTTACACAGTCTGGCAACAGCTACGGCAAAAGAACGATCGCCCCACTGTTTGAGTCTTGACCTAGGGACCTCTAACAGAAGCTGACCCGAGGAGCGCAAAGCTCTGCCACAATTGCGAAAAGTTAAAATCTCAGACAAGTAAGAGGGGGCCAAGCCATGAATGGCGTTAAAAACAAACACAAGTTTAAAATCGATTCTAAACCGGACTAGAGGTCAGTGGGAGTGATGACAGCACAGGAGTAATGCGTTCACGTCTGGACGTGCATCTTTTTATGACTAAAACATGACGAGACATGAGTGTGAGTTTTCGTCGACGAGACTACACTAAATAAAAATGTTAGCGGGTGGTCTGTGGGACATTTAAAATGCATCATTGTGATGTAGGGCTGGGTATTGTTCAAAAATTTTCGGTTCCGGTACCAATACCGATACCTTCACTTCGATACCGGTTCCTGAACGATACTTTTTTCGATACCAGTTTTATAATTTCAAGTAGAAGAAAAAGAAAATTACACAACATAAAAAAGTACAAATCTTGAGTTTTATTTTAAGCCCCGAATCTTTCCATTTACATTTT